CTGGGCTGGTGGGAGGTGTCCCTGCCCGTGCAGGGGGGTTGGAACTAGATGATTTTTGAAGTCCCTTCCAACCCAAACCAATCTGCAATTCTATTTCAAAGCTTTAGGTTTTCTGGATTTGCATGGAGAAGGGCAGAACTTGCCTGGTGGTCTCCTCCATATTTGTGTCCACTGCAACCTCCTGGCTGGGTGTAGAGGATCCACAAAAAACACCTTTCAAAGTTCTGGTGGTTGAAAATGCCTCTAGAGGTACGATTCATAGGCATAAACACTTCAGTGGAACCATTCAGACTGGCAGAAGATGGGAGGATCAGTAAAAATATATTTAAGGACCTCTGAAATTCAGTTCTAAATTCTAAGCCTTTCCAAGTCATAAGTAAAACCTTTGAGACTGTTTGTAAAGTCCTTTGTAATTTTTTAACAGAAGTGCTTCCAAGACATAGAAGTAAACATTGAAAAGTGCATTTTTTACATTCCCATTTTCGACCAAAAGTTTCTTCAAAAGTGTTTATTTGACAAATTTTGTTGTGTTTTTTTTTATCCCCAGTTGAATATTACAGTGACTATTACAAGCATTTTCCTATAAACAACAGTGTAGTTTACAGCTTTGTTCAAACTGGAAAAATATTTTATAACCAGTAGTATCTCATCTACACATTTCACCTTCTCTGCGAGCAGCTTAAACCTTCTGCTTGTTAAGACTTCACAACCCCCCCAAAAAAAAAAACCCCAAACAAAATAAACATTGCACTGTAGTAGCACTTTTAAATATATATATATATTTCCTATTAATTTCAACTTAATTTGAAAGTTCTTGTCTACTGGCACATATAAATTGTATGTTCATTGGGGATTATGTCCTCTGGATTGTTTTATTTAACATCCATGTTTCTAAAACTTCTGGCAGGGAAATAAAACCCTGAATTTATGGCTGTGTATCAATAAAGTGAGAGGGAAAAGGCTCATAGCTATTCATGCAATTCATTTTGATTCTCTTTATATGCAAAATGCTGATTTTTCTAGTTAAATGTGGTCTCAAAGAACAAGTTTGCACAGATTT